TTCATAGAAAGTTGTCTTGTAAATGTTAAACCAACGTAACTAAAAGCATTAACAACTTCAATCTGCTTGTTTTTATAAGTCCATTTTTCAATTTTACATAATGTACCACCATTTTTAAAAACAACTATTTTTGTTTTACTTTCATTTACTTTAACCCATTACTTCATATACACGCCTTTTAACGCCTTTTTCACCCCCCCCCCTTTTTTGTTGTCTCAAATGATGAAAAAATGCCTTATTTAGGCCCCAAACACTTGTTTTTGTTTGAGAAATGTTGTTAAAAAAGTGACCTCTTTTTCGGCGCGGTCCCCCAACCAAAAGATACATCAGGGGGGTGCCAGGAGGGGGATGTGCCCCCTTCTGTTTGGGGGGTTTGAAGGGGGGCGGAGTCCCCCTCATCGCCAAGAAAATTTTGGACTTGTAAGAGGCTGTAAATGATCCCAGATTGATCATAAGGTAACGTGTAACCAACGCTGAAAAGCATTTGACTCTATCTCAATCCATTGAGAAGTTGCAGCACTTTGAAATCAATTTTGATGGAAAAAATCAACGCAAAATAGTGATTTTTGGCAATTTTGAGATGTCCCCTCGTTGCCATGGTAACAGAAAATTTAAGCCTGAGCATGTTGTTGCAAGGGCAATGGTCCAGTCAACATTTGTGCCAGTTTGATTAGTGTTGAAGCAGTTTTTATAGTATTTAGCAATTTGAACTTGTAACGGGAGACTTTTCAATGAAAACAGCCATTTTTTTCACAAAATGCTCATGAAGTAATGGGTTAATGAAAAAAATAAAAAATCTACAAAACAACAATTTTTCTTCAAATTTATATGACAGGGCCATGTTTAAATATAAAAACGCAATTTAGGTAATTTCAAGTATTTTTCATCATTTTCTGTTAACCCATTACTTCATATACACGCCTTTTAACGCCTTTTTCAACCCCCCCCTTTTTTTGTTGTCTCAAATGATGAAAAAAAAATGCCTTTATTTAGGCCCCAAAACACTTGTTTTTGTTTGAGAAATTGTTTTAAAAAAGTGACCTCTTTTTTCGGGTCGCGGTCCCCCAACCAAAAGATACATCAGGGGGTTGCCAGGAGGGGGATGTGTGCCCCCTTTCTGTTTGGGGGGTTTGAAGGGGGCGGAGGTCCCCCTCATCGCCAAAAACATTTTTGGACTTGTAGAGGCTTGTAATGACCCAGATTGATCATAAGGTAACGTGTAACCAACGCTGAAAAGCATTTGACTCTATCTCATCCATTGAGAAGTTGCAGCACTTTGAAATCAATTTTGATGGAAAAAATCAACGCAAAATAGTGATTTTTGGCAATTTTGAGATGTCCCCTCGTTGCCATGGTAACAGAAAATTTAAAGCCTGAGCATGTTGTTGCAAGGGCAATGGTCCAGTCAACATTTGTGCCAAGTTTGATTAGTGTTGAAGCAGTTTTTATAGTATTATAGCAATTTGAACTTGTAACGGGAGACTTTTCAATGAAAACAGCCATTTTTCACAAAATGCTCATGAAGTAATGGGTTAAGTTTATATGTATCGCAAAAAAATGACAAAGTACCTAACTGTTTTTGTAAACCAGAAACTGTATCTGAAAGGAGAGCAATATCATCTGCAAACATTAAAGATAAAAGTTGTGTCTCAGACGGGTGTAATTGAATTCCTCTTATGCCACTATCATCTAAAATATGTTGTAAATTCATTCTATATAGAAGAGAAAAGAATCGGGGCTGGCCAACAACAACATTGTTTTAATCCTACTAACTTAATATGTAATCACTTCTTTCATTATTACATCTAATACATGCTTTAACGGTTCTATAATACTTTGAAAAGCTATATACAATTTTCCACTGCCACCCCCCTTTCTAAGTAATTCCAAAAGAATTTGTCTATTTATGGTATCAAAACATTTATGAAAATCATGAATGCAACAAATTCTTTTGTTTTTTTTTTTAACTAGTTCTATCTGGTTAAAGATTTTAAAAATAAATGCAATATCCACAGTTGAGTATTCCTGCTTTAAACCCACTCTGGTTTTCAGAAATTTTACTATATATTTGTGCAAAAAATTCAAACGAGCCACTAAAAAATCCCACAATATATTTTTCCTAAAACATTTTGTTTAAACTTATACCCCTATTAATTGTCCACATTGTTTATATCCCCTTTTTTTGTGAAGTGTTGTTATAATAGATTCACACCAGGATTCTGGATACTCGCCTGTGTAAGCAAATAGTCGATCAAACAATTTAACAAAGTATACATTTGGTAATATGTATAAAGCTATCTATACGTAAATGAAAAAAACTCTGGATTAGATTATCAGGACCTGGTTTTTTACCAGTTTTAATATGCTTTACAGCCATTCTTACTTCACTTCAGTGATCTCAGAATTAAAAATGTATTGATCAACTTCATTATCTATTTCTTTCATTTATCATTTCTAAATTTTTCACCAGTATTTTCATCACATTCATAAGGGTTTAGCAGGCCTGTAAAAATATTCAAGCCATTCTGGGTAGAAATATTGTTTACTGTCCTTTACTTTTTCTTGCCAGTTCATAGATTTAAGTTTTGACCAAAATGACTTAGGATCGTTAACTTTTGCTGTCAGGTAATCAAGGTTTTGTTTATTGTATTTCTCGCATCTTCAAATTACACTTGTTTTTTAAACTCATTTCGTTTTAAAAGATATCTTTGCAAATTTATGTCAGACCTACAATTAACCTACCTATATTGTCTTAACAGTTTATATTTTTGATTTTTAAAAATCTTACAATCTAAATCGAACCATTTTGGTGATGAAGGAGCTTTAAAATTTGACTTTTTTTTGAAAATGCTTACCAATATCAGTTAGACATGTAATAAAAGAGATACAATATTATTGATCCCAACTTGAGTTGTTCCTCAATGGATTTTACAAAAGTTCAAACATTAATCTTTTGTGAATAATTCACTCAGTTTTCTTGATAAACATTCTTATGAATATTATGGGATTTTTAAAAGATAAAATTGTTATTCCCTTGGGCATTTAATTTTTCTCTTTCATTTTTAAACATTTTCAGCTTTATATTAATGGAAAATGCTTTTGATTCGCCTCTTTCATCAATTTTTTAAAATCTGTTTAATATTACTTATCAAATCTTCTGAGCATAATGCATAATCAATTACACTGCAGCCCAAAAGTAGAAGTATACGTAAAATGACCATAATTTTTTTGTCTTGTCCAAAACGCCCATTCATGATATATAAAGAATACACTTTTACACATTTCAATAAATAATTTACCTCTGCGAATTTATAGTCTTATCACAAGATTTACGTATTTCATCAATTGGACTTTGAAAAAAATTGGTTATATTCTTCAAGTTTGGTTAATATTGTGTTCAAACATTTAAGCAATTCGCTTTCAATTCACCACATCTTGCATTTTTTAAATCTCACCCATTATAATAATATTACAGTCTTGGTAATTACTAATAGCAGAGTTTAATACTTTCTCCAATAATGATACACCTTTTAATGTTTATTACTATAAAAGGGGAGTCAAGTGGTGGTAAAAGGCAAAAAATAACAATGTATCTTTAGCTAATTTTGTAACAGACTTTGAAATTTTCAATATAATGCCTACTTCACATTCATGGATAACACGTGTAATATATTTAATCAATTCATTTTTTACATACACGGACATGCCCACCCATGGCCCTGCCAAACATCGAATTTTCTAAACTGCTGGTAAAAGTAACATTTATGTGACACAAAAATATTATTTGTAAGATCATTATTTTCTTCCCAGGTTTCTCCTAATGCAAATATTTCAAAAGTTGACAAATAAAGAATAAAATCATGAAAAAGTGTTTTGACACAAATCCTTCAATGTTTCCAGAAACATAAATTTACTTCTTGTTCATATGGGCTTTGGGCCTGAAATCGCTAATTTAAACACTAATATGATTTATGTCATTGTTCTGGTTAACTTCCATATCAAGAGCTTTCCTGGGTATTTTTACGCCTTGCGTTAATAAATGTTCTAGCCCTTTTTTTCTTCCTTCATTCGTATTTGAAGTTTTTCCTTTAAGGAAATAGCCTGTTTTTTCATTAAGTTTTTAATTCCGCTAATGTGGATCTTTGTCTAGAAGTAAGCTCGTCTGATATACGTATAACCATTTAATACGCAAATTCTCCCTGCCTTTAAATAGTTTAAAACTTACAGTATTGTTCTTTGAATTTAACTATGACCATTGCTAGTTACTTAGCCGTTTTACCTCCCAATCTATAAGCATCTAGTATACAATCTATATTCCAAGTATCATCTGGGCATGCCACTTTCAACACTGTATTCAAAATTGAAGCTTTAAGAGAAATATCTGTTTCTTCTTTGTTCTCAGATAAGCCAAATATTCTTAAATTTATTCTTATATTTTGTCGCTCAAGCTTTTCAACTGTATCGCCAACCTGATTAAAGATTTCCAATTTCTGTTCACACATTTCATGCATAGTGTCAATATCTAAATGTAGCATTTCTATATCACCACGTAAATGCTCCATATTTTGATTCAATTTTTTATTACATTTGCTTTCTTGGTAACTCTGTTTAATTTCCAAGGCATCTACTCTCCCTTTAACTTCCATGCAAATGTCTTTTACTAGTTTTACATCTGATTTTTATTTTTGTCATATCTGACCTAACATTTCGGATTTCGGCTTGCAGTTTTTCGCCATTTGGTTTATTGCTAATAAAATTTCCTCTTTATCAGTTAAAGGTCCCGGATTTGATTCAACATCTTTGGATAAGAATAGAATTCTTTTATAAAAATGTTTATTTTATTGGTTGTGACCATAATGCTTCATCAAGAATGCTATGCGTGAATTGGTCTTGTATGTGACAAGGGTGTTTGCTTAATTTCTCTGGTGATAAATCTGCCATTTGAACCCATGTCCACTACCGTGTTTGCTAAAAGTGGTTCCAACTGCAAGTGTTAAATATGAGCCAGAATCCCATCAAAAAACATCCTGTAGTGTATATCTGAACCTGTATTTGAAGCCTCATTTCTCTTGACATTTCGACAACTTACACCTCTCCCCGGCCCAAATAGTCCAATCCTTATACGATATACTGTTATGTCTATACCCATGTTTATCTCAATTAATGTCAATATATATCAATGTGTAACTTATTTTACACCTTACAATAGAGTATATTTCTACACATACAATTTTACTGTTAATTACTGTTATCTCACTAGTTGATGACCATCACTGCTGACCACTGGTGCAGAACTATAACTATCAAATACCTTTCTTCTATTGTCTACTTATTTGCCTTTATATCTTTTTTATCTTTCATTATTTCTTATATTTTTTTACAGTTTACAGAAGCTCATACCTTCACAAATAATCCAATATAAGTTTTGTTTAGATTACTCCTGTAAAATTCACTTATTTTTCAGTTTGTTTTAGAGCCTTAAAAAAACACATCCTATATGTACACATGCTATCTACACCTCCTACAGTTACCTTCGTAACGTAATACCGGCGCACGACAAAAATTGGGTTAGTTCATTACTTTGATGCATCACGGTATTCTTTAAACACTACATATAAACGTAAAAATTCAGGGAAAAGTATGTGTACGTATTCCTAACGTCACTAGAAAATATGACGTCATTTGCCATATTGTAACGGTCGTAGAAGGGCGAGAGTCGGTAGACGATGTCAACCGGTCAGGCAGACGTCCGTCCATAATGCAGGACTATGTGACGAGGGTTGCCCAATATATTGGTGCACTGGTGGAATATGTTACATGTCCGTTGCATAAGAACAATAAAAACTACAAAATACTTTGTATCAATCATTCCTCTTTTGACAGTAAAACAAATTATAACAACAAAGCAAATGCCACTTTACAAGCAACAAACAATTAATACAATTACAGGAATGAGCTTACCCAATTTTTGTCGTGCGCCGGTATTACGTTACTTAGGTATTTTAATGACCATTCATTTACTCGACACGCCGGTTACTCGGCTTTTTCTTTTGTTTTCTTATTTGAGACAAATATACGTTTTTATATAATTAAAGTCTGTTACATACATTTTATGTCATAAATGAGATAAATGTAGATATCAGCATATCTCCATATATTTATTCGTTCTGAAAGAATTGTATAACAAATGATGTTTGCTTAGATGTTATGATTTGTAATTTATTGTACATATGCCATGCTCTGTTATTGTTCGGTTTTGTAAATATGTTTTGCTCTTCAATATTGGAGGAATAAAAAGTATCTATCTATCTACCATTCAAGTGATATATAATTCATTTGTTTTTATTAATCACTCTCACGACAATAACTGCAATGTACGAATTTTTTGGACAACCCTCGTACAATATACATGTAATAATAATGACCAGGGTGAAAAAAGACATACAAAATCCAAATAAATAGATGATAACAAATGACATGCAGATATATATTGAAAATTAAATGACACAAATTAAAACGGTTATAAATGTAAATGATATGTATTCTTTGAAAGTACATTTACACGGCTTCTTCTAATACTGGAACAACTGACAATAAAAAGCTCGACCGTCCTAACCATGTTACTCAATCCGAACAGTTGCCAAAGAAGAATCTGGACATCTTAACTATGGTGACCATTAAACCCAACTATTGATATAAAATAGAATGTGTTAATTTTGCTGACCCTTAAATCGAACAGTAGACACCAAAGAATCTGAGCATCTTATCTCTGTTGACACTTATGCCGTACAATTGGCATTAAATGATAGGTCATCTTAACTCTATTTACACTAAAGCCGTTCAATTGACATTAAATGATAGATCATCTTAACTCTGTCTTTCACTAAAGCCGTTCAATTAACATTAAATGATAGGCCATCTTAACTCTATTTACACTAAAGCTGTTCAATTGACATTTAATGATAGGTCATCTTAACTCTGTTTACACTAAAGCCGTTCAATTGACATTAAATGATAGGTCATCTTAATTCTGTTTACAATAAAGCCGTACAATTGGCATTAAATGATAGGTCATCTTAACTCTATTTACACTAAAGCCGTTCAATTGACATTAAATGATAGGTCATCTTAACTCTGTTTACACTAATGCCGAAAAGTTGACATTAAATGATAGGTCATCTTAACTCTGTTTACAAAAAAGCCGTTCAATTAACATTAAATGATAGGTCATCTTAACTCTGTTTACACTAATGCCGAACAGTTGACATTAAACGATAGGTCATCTTAACTCTGCTTACAAAAAAGCCGTACAATCGACATCAAATGATAGGTCATCTTTACTCTGCTTACAAAAAGCCGTACAATCGACATAAAATGATAGGTCATCTTAACTCTGCTTACAATAAAACCGTACAGTTGACATTGAATGATAGGTCATCTTAACTCTGCTTACACTAAAGCCGTACAATTGACATTAAGTGATTGGTCATCTTAACTATGTTTACAATAAAGCCGTACAGTTGACATTAAATGATAGGTCATCTTAACTCTGCTTACAAAAAAGCCGTACAATTGACATTAAATGATAGGTCATCTTAACTCTGCTTACAAAAAAGCCGTACAATTGACATTAAATGATAGGTCATCTTAACTATATTTACAAAAAAGCCGTACAATCGACATTAAATGATAGGTCATCTTAACTCTGCTTACAATAAAACCGTACAGTTGACATTGAATGATAGGTCATCTTAACTCTGCTTACAAAAAAGCCGTACAATCGACATTAAATGATTGGTCATCTTAACTATGTTTACAATAAAGCCGTTCAATTGACATGGAATGATTGGTCATATTAACTATGTTTACACTAAAGCCGTTCAATTGACATTGAATGATTGGTCATCTTAACTATGTTTACACTAAAGCCGTTCAATTGACATTGAATGATTGGTCATCTTAACTATGTTTACACTAAAGCCGCACAATTGACACTAAATGATAGGTCATCTTAACTCTGCTTACACTAAAGCCGTAGAATTGACATTAAATGATTGGTCATTTTAACTCTGCTTACACTAAAGCCGAACAGTTGACATTAAATGTTTGGTCATTTTAACTCTGTTTACACTAATGCCGAACAGTTGATATTAAATGATCGGTTATCTTAACTCTATTACACTAAAAGCCGTACAGATGACATTAAATTATTGATTATCTTAACTCTGCTTACACTAAAGCCATACACTTTATATTAAATAATTGGTATTTTTAACTCTGCTTACACGTAAGCCGGACAGTTAACATAAAAAATCCGTTAAAACCAAACAACTGGCATTCAAGAATTTGATCATCTAAACTCAGATTATCATAAAGCGAAATACTTGACAATGAAGAATATGTTTATCTTCCATTAAAACGAAACACTTAGTATTGACATATAAGACTCTGATCATCTTAATTCTGCTTACACCAAAACGAAAGACTTGACAAAAAGTTATCATTTAAAATCTGCTTACCCGAAAAAGAAACACTTGACATTAAAGAATTTGCTTATGTTAACTCTGATGATCATAAACCAAACAGTTGACAATAAAAAATCCAGTCATGCTTACTATTGTTAGACAAAGTAGAGGAGAAAAACTTGATTTTTTTTACTATTTTACTATTACTAGTCTTCCTTTATAACATGGGTGCTTTATCTGTTTTATAAATGCATTTAAACGTGACATGTGTTTTTTTTGTAACATGTCCCTTCTCCTTGTGAGTCCGAAGGAACAAGTGACGCTAAAAACCACCAAAGTAATGTCAAGATGATAAGGAAAATGATGAAGAATATCAAAATATTACGTAGAAAATAATGATAATGATCTTTTCTGCAAATCATATTGTAATCTCCCCCAATGATCTGTTCCTTTATAGCTTCAATCAATGTCTGTTTTGAATCTGAAAATGAAAAATGAAAAAAATAGGTTAAAGACAATTTACTCCAAAGAATGACATAAATATTGAATAAAGTCCAAATTACATCATATTGGTCCTAAGTTATCTTGAATACATTAGGACAGCATAAAGCGTGATTAATTGACACCAGTCGCAGTTTTGACATTTATTAAGATTTCGTCCCTGTCATGCCATATTAACATCTAAAAGGCCTTTTAGATTTTATTTATATGATACATGTTTCATAATAATGAATAATGTACAATATTACCGTTAATAAATCCTTTGCGATTTCATCTAAATATTACCTTGACAACATCTATAAAGCCTTTTGCAAATTTAATATACATTATACCGTATTAACATTTATAAAATATTTCCAAGGGCATGGATATAATAGGGCATGGATATAATACAACTAGTGATGTAATTTTCGTTGCATTATGTATAATAGTACAAGAACACCTTTTATGTAATTTGCGTTTTGATTTTGAAGAAACGACAAATAATAAACACTTATATTCCATTTTTTCTGTCTCTAAAAGTATATTTCAACCATGCAAAATACCTTTCAAATTTATTAATAATCAATTAAAAATAAGTAGAAATTAATGATTTTTTTCCGAAGCATGTTTATTTAAAGTAATGATATTATCCTTCAGGTAAAAAGTCATGAGTTAACAAAGGCAACTTTGGCACTGACAAAGGTCACTCTGACATTACACCATACGAAGCATTTAATTAATATTTGCGAAAATAACATACCGTCATAGAAAACAAAGTGAACAAGTTTGCTGATGTCCCCGAGTTTATCCTTCACTGCCTTTCTATTCATAATATCTTCCATTACTTCTACAAACTTTTCACACTGTCTGCTCATGTCCTCCCTCGTTATTCCAGAAAATGGAAGATTGCCCATTTCTTTGATATTATTGATTGCCGCACAATATTCACTCATAAAGCACACACTCTGAAAAAGTTCGCTGCATGTGTAAGATATTCAGACCGTATATATAAAGATACCTCGAAACTTGTGTTTTTTCTTGTAGAAACAAACTTTTCAGTTTTAACTTGGTAAATATATAGATAATAAAGGCAATGCTCTGATCACTATATTGTGTAAACTGTATTGAACCGTAGAGTATGTTTCGAAAACCTACAATTGCCGATTACATCTATCCGACTAAATGCAAAAATATAACATTTTGTTTGGCAAAAAAAAACCAATCAGAAAAAGAAAAATTTAGTGTTGTTTGATTTTAATCAAGACTGCTAGAATTATTACTAGACTGCTATAAAAAGTATATATATAATAATAGTAGTGAAAGTAGTAAGTAGTGGAAATCTAGATTATAGAAGATATTTACATTTTCAGTTTCTGGGTCGGTATATTTATACATGTGAATATAAAATGTACGATGCTGACCGGCCATCTCCTTTTCCACCACTTCACTTTTTCCAACATACTGTATTACTGGTGTCTCGCTTCTAAAATTGAATCGCAAGGTGATGCTTCAACAGTACATATACAACAACATACACGAGATTTAACATTTTAGATAACAGCAAATTATTTATATATTAAAAGCTAGATCAGATCACAAGTTCAAGCTTAACTGATTTACAAGAAAGTTAAAACTGATGCTTCAATTTATAATTAAAAAAGATAGAAAAAGAATATAAACGATCTTATGCTACTTCAATGTCCCAAGATCAAGTAGATAATTATAAAAGGTCCAATCCGACACCTTAAATTGGAACTACTTGGATCAAATTTCTTAAGAGAAATCAATACAAAGGCCACTCTATGAAACGTATAAAAGGACCGAATATTTTGATTATTTTATGTATGGGACAAATTTTAAGTCGCCACTCAATATAACATTGTTTGTTTTATTACAGGAAAACATTAAAGTCGCCACACAGTATAACATGGATTATTTTATGTATGGGACAAATATTTAAGTCGCCATTCAATATAACATTGTTTTATTACAGGAAAACATTCAAGTTGCCACCCAGTTTAACATTTATTGTTTTATTTACAGGAAAAATATCAAAGCCACTTAGTATAAAATGACCTACGTTTCATTGGCCTTTTCTGCAAGCTTTGGTTCTGTTTTACAAGATAGCGGCACTATGATAAACAACTTCTCAATGCAGTCACACATGACAGCTTTACTTTTCATCAGTTTCACAATTCTATCACGTAAACCTTTATCATACAGAGTTCAAACAGTTTACACAATACATCTTACAATTATAAAATAAGTAATCAAATACACATCTGGTCAGGCATATCATTTGTGTTTGTAAATTACATGTAAACATATAAATGTATGTTTTATACGTAAATTTAGCCTGTGTTATTGCGCCTAATGTTACACATCTGATTACATTATGATCTCAGTGTATTTAGCCCAACATTCGAGAATAAGTTGTAAAACATGCTGTTAGTCAGAACACATGATCATAAATCAGTTATATATGGTGCATTTTGATGATGTTGATATACTCAAACAAATACTTTAATCTGTTAAAAGTGTTACCACAATGTATAAAACAAGAATTCAAAAACATTTTTTTTATTTTCATATCATTTAAAAATCTATAGAAATTTGCTGTTTTAAATATAAACCTTTTTCCATTGTGATTGACTGGTAATTAATATAATTTGATATTCCTGCTTCCACTGTGATTGACAGGTAATTAATATAATTTGAAATACCCGGTTCCATTGTGATTGACAGGTACTTATAATGTAATTTGATATACCTTGTTTCATTGTGAATGACAGGTAATCAATGTAATAAAGTATACCTGGTTCCATTGTGATTGACAGGTAATTAATATAACATGCCCACGCTAGACCTGTTGCAACATCTCCACATGGTATCTTGTCTTGCATCCTTACAGGCTGTCCTACGTTTTTAAGAAAGAAAATATGAGTCGTAAAGAGCAGGTAACGAAGAATACAACATGTTACACTCAGTAACTACAATCTGACAGCGCTACCATTTGTTTAAGCATCAATTCGAATAATTAATATGTATTAAATATATATAGGATATGAAGAATATAAATTATCATCAACAAGCAAATTCGTTGAATTTATATCCCCCGCCGAGTACTGCTTATTATTAACACAACAACTGAAGACATAAGGCTTTATTTATATATTAATCATGGCATAAACTGTAATATTCTTTGAACTTGAAGCCTTGTACCTTCAAACAAGAAGAATTTTTAAGTTTTCACTATATATATATATATATATATATATATATATATATATATATATATATATATATATATATTTACATATATATATATATATATATATATATATATATATATATATATATATATATATATATATATATATATATAAAAGGAAAATCTATGACCCCCTGGAGTGGGGCCAATTTTGACCCCAGGGCTAAAATTTGAACAATTTTGGTAGAGGACCTATAGGTTATATCATATACCAAATATCAAAGCTCTAGGCCTTGTACTTTCAGAGAAGATTTTTTAATTTTGCATTTTTGAAACTCCTTTTCTGGCCCTGTGACCTACTTATGCAACAAACCGGAACCATTTGATCAACTTTGGCAGGGGACCACCCTAGGATCATTCCTGTAAAGTTTGGTTGCTGTGCAGTCATTTGTTTCTGAGAAGATGTTGTTTAAAGAAATTGCTGACGACGCACGACGACGGACGGTGGGGGATCACAATAGCTCACATAGATGTAAAAACATCTTAATCTCCAGACTTCATTGCCATTTTCAAGGCATCAAGAAGGGATCTCACAATTTTCAAATATTTTTAAATGTTATTGTAACAAATCATTTTAATTCTTCTTTAATAAAAACTAGAAATGTGTCCATAGGACACGGGTGCCCCCACCGCGCCACTGTTCTGTCAATCTTATGACTCTAGGTCAAATATTTTTTGAAAACTAAAAATCTTTTTACTAAGTAAAGGGCAAGAACTTTACAAATACTGAATAAATCCCCAAGCAAACCCCAAATTGAAAATTGCAAATTTATACTACTGTAATTCAAGGGCAATAACTCTAACAAAACTGAAAAAAATCCACATGCAAAGTCCCAGGTTCATAGCATCACAGTGAGGTGAATCATTATTCCTGTAATTTAGTGATGTTGATTATTATTCCTGTAAAGTTGGTCGATTCTAACTCAAGCACTCAAGGATCAAATAACAACATAATGAAACAGTTTTTACTAAGTCAAGGGAAATAACTCTACAAATACTGGATAAATCCACAAGCGAAACCCCAGGAACAAACTAAATATGCTGAGCAACTTTCCAATAAGGTTTAATGAACCTATGTCAAATCCTTTTTGAGTTACATGCGACACATGTTGAAAATTGCAAACATTTTCTAAGTCAAGGGCAATAACTCTAAAAATACTAAATAAATCCAGACGAAAATACCCAGGTGCACAACTACACATGCTGATCAACATTCCTGTAAAGTATCATGACTCTAGGTCAAATACTTTTTGAGTTACATGCGACACAAGTTGAAAATTACAAAATTTTATTAAGTCAAGGGCAATAACTCTAAAAATACTTAAAATATCCAGACGAAAATACCCAGGTGCACAACTACACATACTGATCAACATTCCTGTAAAGTTTCATGACTCTAGGTCAAAAACTTTTTGAGTTACATGCGACACAAGTTGAAAATTACAAAATTTTACTCAGTCAAGGGCAATAACTCTTAAAATACTAAATATATCCAGACGAAAATACCCAGGTGCACAACTTCACATGCTGATCAACATTCCCGTAAAGTTTCGTTGAATTCCAGCCATTAGTTGCAGAGAACTACTCCGGAAACGAAATTCGTACAAAATTTTACTGAGTCGAGGGCAATAACTCTAAAAATACTAAAAATATTCAGACGAAAATACCCAGGTGCACAACTTCACATGTACTCTCCTGCGCATCGGTCGAATGTTCCACTATCGCTCACTTCTTACTGAAGTAACGGGAGTGTATTCAGTAAGCTGCAAAGGGAGCGTACTTCACATGCTGATCAACATTCCCATAATGTTTCGTTGAATTCCAGCCATTAGTTGCAGAGAACTACTCCGGAAACGAAATTCGGACGGACGGATGGACGGACGGACGGACGGACGGAAGGACGGACGGACAACGCCAAAACTATATATCCCCCTCCCGATTCCATCGGCGGGGGATAACAAACAAAAACGTTTACCTTTCACAATTTGTAGTATGGCTTCGAGGTAGTTATGGTCGTTCACACTGATCATTGTGACCCATCTAATCATTGCCGGGATTTCGCAAGGTTCAACTCCAACCAAAACAGGTAAAACGCTAACTGAATCATCTGTTATACTGTTGTCTAAACACGCTGCACATTTGAAAGCAGTTAGATTAGTCGAGTTAAATGTTGTTTTTGATACCACCAAAATGTACCACTTCGCTGGCTTTATTGTCTGCTCTGATTCATTTCCTCTCTCATAATCCTTAACAACTTTAAGGTTGTTTTTAACTAATTCTTCTTCAATTTTATCTGCGTGAAGCAGATCGTTACTGCAATCAGGGTGGCACAGTATTGTGACATCGTTTTCAGGTTGCTTTGCATTAGGCGAACGAAGTCTGTGTGGAGTGCACTGCTGTTTTGAGTCCTATAATGTTAATATGAAGATTATGCCATAACTGTAAAAAAACGTCATTATCACACATATATTTCATATCTATATGTTTATAAAACTTTGTATTATTACTCCCTATACATGTACTTAAGCGACCAGCTGTAAGTACCTGTACGGTAGTACATTTTAAATCCTTCCATGTAAATCTTTAATGTTAAGTGTTATCAAGTAAATAGTCTAGACCTTCACGCATCGGCTAGTTATAGTTTCGAATTGTCGCAAGAAGGCCGTAGTAGAAAAATCATAGACGTATATATTCAAAACAGTGTCACACCAAGAACTTGCTATAATTTTGATCGAGCTTTGTTCAAAAGTACAAATTTGTCATTTTTAGTAATTTTATAGAAATTATGTTTGCTCGTCGTTGAGTCACTACTGTATTCTTTAAGTCAATAGTCATGTACTCATATTATCCTATACCATTATCATTGTATAAGTAAGAGATAAGTACCAATAAGTTCTTCCCCTATCAAAATAAAATCTTTTTTTAAATTAGTGATATTGTGATATTGCTTTTAATTTAATCCTTTTCATTTTATACGTGCTTAAACTATAAAAATTTAACCTTATTCTTAAACAATATATTATAATATCATAATCATTAATGTCACATAAATTGTAGATTTAAGCTCTACTAGGACCAAGACAAGCTCTACTATGACCAAGACAAGCTCTACTATGACCAAGACAATGCTCCCCATTTGGGACTGAGAGCGGCAAGTTCAAGCGTAGTCATCATCACAATCATCACAATCCAGTAAAGAAATAAAACATGATATTTTTGCAATGCACTTTCATAAGTTGGTGCTTACCGTTTTACACAAGTTTCGCTTAATGGCGTCGTATAAAACACATTGCCTAGTTTCGCCCACAGCTGAAGAATATAAAATTTTATCAGGTTACCGTTATACTCCTATTATGTTAAAATTTGTATGATCTGTCTAAAGTTGGAGACACATCATTAATAAAGAATAGTCATACTTATTATGCTCATATCACTTAATCTGTTTACAATAATAAAACGTAAAAAGTCAATATGTGTCGGAATAAGAAGCAGTATGCCTTACATTTTAAATGAGTTTAATTAAATTTGTGTCACTCTAAAAGCTAACTGATATTAATTTCCTCATTGCTTCAGTGCCCTAACTGAGTAATTTTGACATGTCTGGACTGGAAATATCTTTTTTTCCAGACTTTTATACGACTTAATGTGGCTCTTTACACATATCTTGTGTTCACATCCTTCGCTCATTCCTTTTTCAAATAATCAAATTCATTGTGCATTGTAACACCGCACTTTGGGGTCAAACGCACTTTTGGATCCGACCCCAAAGTGCGTTAAACTTCGCACCGCACTTTGGGGTCAAACGCACTTTGGGGTCAAAATCGAGAAATTGACCCCAAAGTGCGTTAATATGCTACATATCAACGCACTTTGGGTTCCTGAGATCTAAAGGTGTCATCTGAGATCTGCTTAAATACTGAGTACTGACTTATTTTCGATCTGCGACATTGAAATATTTGAGATGGAGTTCAAGATGGCGGTCAATACATTGATGATGCTTAAATGATAAAACTTTTATTAATTTTTTCCACTTGAAATATCTAAAAATTGTGTTCATATAACAAAATAACGGTGGCATAAAAGTGACATTTTCATTTTTTTTAGTTTTGCATACATATTATTTTTGAGTTTTGCATATATATATTTTTTTTAATTTTGCATTCATATTTTATTTTAGTTTTTCGTACATATTTTATTTTTGTTTTTCGTACATATTTTAGCCAATCAAGGATCAGGATTTTTATAAAAATTGGTCAACTTATATGCCAGGTGTGCCGGCTCAAGGTCGGGGGACACAACTACAGGTCAGAGGATTAAGATTTGGGTTTCATCTCCGCTCCTTATCTCCAAAACCCAATAAAGGATTTTCAGGCACTTTGTCTAACCACATCGAGACAATATGCAGAACCTTTCTTTGGGTTATCGCGGCCTATATATATACTAAAAGTGTTGTTATTTTTTTATACCTCCAAAATGAAAATGTTGGTATTTGCAAATAGCATTTGCAAATGGGGTACTCTAATTTACAGATGGCGAAGTGTTTAAAAATGGCGTTTTACAAATGGCGTAATTATCCAAACCTCTACTTTGCAAATTGCGTCATGTAAAAATATGTACTAAAAAAACAAAAAACAAATTTGTACAAAAAACTGAAATAAAATATACATGCAAAATTAAAAAAGAATATTTAAGCAAAACTAAAAAAAGTATGTATTCAAAACTTAAAAAAAAATATGTACGACAAACAAACAAAAAATATGTACGAAAAACAAAAAAAGTATAAAAAAAATGCAAATGTCACTTTTATGCCACCGTTCAAAATACACTAGTACAGAAATTGTGTATTCCTAAAATTAAAAGATGCTGCGAAAAATGTCCCGTTCTGTCAGTCATTTACTTGATAACTTTTGGTGCCATATTGAGCCCCATTTTAAATATGTTGGGAATGAAATAAAATGCAGTTATTTTTTTCCCAAAGAACTATAAATATACTCTATTGCAATGTTCTGGTGAAACATTAAGTTTTTCGATCGGACTATAAATAGTGATTTTTACAAATACATTATTAAGCTTATCAACAAATTAAGGGTTTTTGTAAGCTCCGTAACAACCGTTCGCCAGGGGATACGGACAAAAGCACCCCCCGGACAAAAGCACCCCCTCTTTCGTCCCGGGGGGCTTAAGTTCTACACTCGTTCGCCAGAGGCTTTTTTTAATGGGAAATCTTACATACTTCGTTAGAAGAGCATACACGAATTTTATAATGTTGAAATAATGGTATCAGAGAAATGTAAGATGCTTGTTCCATGAATAAAGTAGCGATAAATGTGAGATTATATGTCATAAAAGTAGTCAAAACAATGTAGTATTTGACTTCCATTTAAAATACTAATTCACTATTACTATACTCATCATTGCCAAAAAGCAACAGATGAAAAAGTTGGTTCAGGTAATTGGCCAATGTGTATTTTTTGGATAATATAGAAGAACATCAAAATAAAAAAGCTTTTAAGAACAACAAATAAAAGCATAATGGGCTTTAAAACGTCATTTTTAACCCTCGGGGTGGGGGTCGATACCCCACAATCCCCTCTATACACCCAGTGAGAATTTTACATTATTCTGAAGCTCCGCTCTTAATGTGCGACTTCTTAAATAGTTGATATTTTTAGGACTACTACCTAAAGCCGCATCTACATCTAGTCAAGTTTCTTACATGTTACATTTAGCTAAATAAATGGCTCTTTCAACATATTATCAGGCGCATTTTTTTACTGAAATGTCTTACTAAAATTGCCCAGAATTTATACCTTTGCCTAAAATGTGTAAATAAAAAAACGGGAAAAATCCATTTAGCTAAAAACAATGGAGTTAATTAAAGGTGTACATTCTTTTAAAATAAATGGAAAATTTGAGAAAAAAATATTTTAAGCCTCATAATTGATACAAATTCTTAATTAGGTGATTTATTTGGTGAAAGTTCTTCACTTACTTATCAAGACCATTTAAATCCCTATTGATTCTACTATAATCCAGGGCACATGTTTTGCGTCTTTTTAATACCTTGATTTTTGTTTACCATTCGCTTTGACAACAATATATTATTTAAAACATAATGAACAATAATTTTCTATGACCCCAAAGTGCTGTCGTTTGTCTGATGTTAAAAAATACATATGTACCTGTTTAACGCACTTTGGGGTCGAAATTGGACCCCAAAGTGCGTAACGCACTCTGGGGTCGGACCCCAAAGTACGTAACGCACTTTGGGGTTGGACCCCAAAGTGTGTTTGACCCCAAAGTGCGGTGTTACAGTGCATACTTACCTAAGTAAAAGGCGTTTGAGTCCAATTGGATCAGAACTGCACTAAGTATAGCTTTCAATTTCATTTTGAGTATATTCCTTTATTACACCATATGTTTTTCGATATAAGAACCCAAATTGATCTCTGTAATATTTTCAAAGTTTATGTGTTTCTGATTTTGGGCGTCAGTGGAGTTCCGTTACTATAATTATCCATGTCATATTGTTAAGCATTACAGCAACATCACGTATTGAATGTACTTTCTAGAATTCGTTGAATTGCTTATAATTAGTATTGGCCCACGCCTTTTCGAAGAAAATGGGGTATATCGAAAAAGGCTCCGTCCGTCTGTCCGTCCATCAATTTTCAATTGCAGTCCATAAATAAATTTATGAAAGGAATTTGAAATAACCTGGCACAAATGTTTGTTGTAATAAGACAATTTGTCATGTGCAACAACCTGACCCCTTCCTCCAAAAATAAGGCCATGCTTCGAGGATTCAAAGTCAACGTTGTCTTTTTGAGGGTATATGTCGTGTCCGTTCCATTATTTTCTTATCCATGAAGGGATTTTGAAAATACTTTGCACAAATGTTAACAATTATAAGACGATGTGTCATGCGCAAATAGTATTCGCCTACCTCCAAGTTCAAGGTCACAGTTGGAGGTCAAAGATCAACATAGTCTGTTATAGGGTATATTCTGTTTCCAGTGCCATTAAGGATTTTGAAAACACTTGGTATAAATGTTGACAATCATAATACGATATGTCATGCACAACACCCGGACCTTTTCTCCAAGGTCAAGGTCACAATTAGAGGTCCCATCTAAACATGGTCTTTTATAGGGTATATTTTGTGTGCAGTCCATAAGTCTTTTTTATTGTTCTAGTGATTTTGAAATTACTTGACATAAATGTTCACAACAATGAGACCATGTGTCATATGCAACAGCCAGAATTCTACCTTCAATGTCAAGGTCACACTGTCAAGGGTATATTTTTGTGTCAGTTATATAACTTTTTTATCAATCAAGGATTTTAAAATAACTTGGCACAATTGTTAACAATAATAAGACGACATGTCATGCGCAACACCTAGACACTTGCCTAAAAGGTCAATGTCACACTTGGAGGTCAAATCCTAAAATAGTCAATAACAGACTGGTATGCCAAGTTCGGCTTATGCAAATCAAATGTCATTGGTGAATTGCCCACATACATTGATTGATGACTTGACACGAAATATAACCTGTAACTGACCAAACTCTGTATTGATTTTGTAATTGTCACATTTTGTGGCTTTGAAATAGTTATAGCAACTATACAAATATATTTCTGTTAACATATACAGAGGAGTTTTTTTATTTTATTTATTTAATGAATTTATTGTAACTTGCTTGCGCAGATCTAGCATTAATCAAAATTTTGTAATGAAAGTCCAGACTGATACCTCAATCTTTTAAAAGTAGCAAAATTTTATGCTTAACTTCTAGTAAAACTTCCCTTAGGCGGGGGACGTTGGTAACTTTGTTACAAATTCTTCTAAATAGCTTATAATCATATTCATATTACTTATATCATGTTCACGGAAATACACTTAATGGTAAGAAATTGTCTTAATTATTCATCACATTATATTTAAAGATAATAAAAAGTTTTTTCACTGTTCTTAGACGCGTTTTGGTCCATACAGTTTTTTTTTAATTCAAAATGTTTACCATTGTAAGGAAGAAGTTCTACAGCAACATCCTGGCAAAACTCGTTCTTTGTATGATGAATGACCTCGTTCATTGTATGGTAGAAACGGGCCACCTGTAACTGTACATCAACTTTAGCCATTTTCTCCTTTGACATTGTGTGAATAGCATTCAACACGTTTGGACAATCAGCGAAAAAATAGTAAGGGTCCTGCAGTAAAAAATATAATAACTCCAATGTCCCAAACTGAATGTTCGGTTAACGGTAAATGGACAGTAAATAAATGGAATATTTCAATATAATATTTTAAAGCGTTTAGATTTATTTTAAACATAATTTTTTATTTCCTTATAAATTCTGTTTATCTATAGACAATATTCAATTCTATACAAAGATGTTTTGTGAAAAAATCATTGACTAAATGTAAATTTTAAATGTTAGAGAGACCATGGTCGTTTTAAGTCAGTCATCAAAAGTCAATGTATTTCTTTGTAGTGTTAATCATCATCATCATTATTTTTATTATTATTGTTATCACCAACAACAATCGCTATAATGATAAAAGAATATAATACGTAAAGAATGTTACCTCGTCACCTTTCTTTAACCTGTAAATAGTAATATTGAATTCTCGATCCTTTCCTACATGTTCCTTTTCTAACTTTAGTATTGTTTCTTCTTCTATTGTGATTTTATTTTTGCTGTCACAACCGCTTAAACTGCTAACAACCTCGCACGTGCTTGGAATGAGTAAATAATAACGTACCGATACTCTCCCTGGGTTGTTTTTATACACGTCGGTTTTTTCAAGTTCTTTTTGAAGCACTACAATAACACACATGATAGTGAGTTTATTCGTATGAAACAATACAAAACCTACCACAAAAACACAACACACATCATAAAATGTCGTACATGATCATAATTCAAAATTACGAAAAGAACACAAAATTAATTATGGCTGTGTATGATGTACAGTTCCTAATAATAGTTCGCATAATTATATACCTATTTATCAAAGTATTCTTTGTTTATATAGAATGAATTTACTTTCACTGTGTATGAACCTACTAGTCTATAGACATACTCTCACATGCGTTTTTGGAACCAACCAGTAATGAGCAATGGGTGTAAAGTTTCTTGATCAAAGTATTCTAATAAATCTTACCTGGCAAAATATATTTGTAATAGCCATTAAAATGTGAGAAAACCAATCCGTGTGCAAGACTCCCAACAGGCAGTATGTCTGGAATAGGTATGTCCTCTGGAAGATGAAATATTTTGATACAATATTTTTAATGCAATCATATTAAAAGTAATATCATGCTTTCTTGGCAATTGGCCTTTGTTAAAAACGTTTATACACGTTCATATTATCATTATTATTTATTCATTTTTTGGGTGGGGGTGGGGGGCTTAAACATTGCACGGCGGTTGTTGTTTTTTTTTTATAAAAATGTTGGGCCGATGACTAAAAATACAAATTTTTTACCACGATTTTTGGGACGAATGTCTTATTAAAATTGAGTCGAATTGTATATTATATCATAAGAAACAAACATTTTTTCCCAAAACCTGAACAAGGACAATAAAGTGCAATAAACACAGCATTAAAAACAAATGTAGAAATGTTGTTTAAAATTGATTAAGTTGTATAAATGACTTATCATCTCACGATAAAATATATTTTCACATAAAAATGATGTCTATTTTAGTACAATTTAAGCATTGTAACGTACTGACCATTTATGTAAGATACAAGACACTTCTCCCATCCATCTTGGTCGAAATCTAATTTTCTACAAGGAACTGATTGCAAGAAATCCCTTTTCAAAAATTGTATTTCATTTTCATCTACCCCGTGCAGTAATAGTCGTAGACAAAAGATGTTTTTCTTCTTACATTTGTCGAGAGCAAGAATAGTTTGTAGTAGCTGACATGTACTTTTTATTGAATCTTTACTAAGTATCACCAACGTCTTTTCCGAGTTTTCAATCCATTTAACAATATTTTCTGTCACTGGTTCTCCAATAGGGAAAGCTTGGTGGTCTTCAACATCAAAAACGCAAGAAACTGACCTTTTTGTTAATGCATTTGCAACTTTGCAGGCGGTTTCAATTTCATCTGTTTCAGTGTTGTATACAATAAATACTTTATACTGGTCGTCAACTGATCCTGTACTTTTAGCTTTTTCATAACTATTCTCAACGTCCTCTCTTTTGTCAGACATTTCGAAATCGTATGACTTCAGCACCTGTAAATATAATGCACCATAATCACGGACTTTGTTTTTCTTTTCTTTTTTGTTTTGTTACTCGTGTAAAAACTAAGGCAATCGCCCTAAACAAAAGAAGCAGCAGTCTCTTTGGTTTAATTATGACTATAACGTAGCAAAGAAACAGTTTTATGATGCAAATTTGCGTTTTACTATTCCCGGTTAAGATGCTGATTAATTGTTTAAACTAAGTAGTAGCATACATTATAGTAAAAAAAGACAAGTGAAATATTAGCGTTATAATAGAGAGACATATATGAGCAAAAAATATCCCTGCAAGTTTTGTAAATACATTACTAGTAAAATGTTTAGATCAACTTGTAAACATTAAGATAACAAATCCTATACGTTTGTAAAGGCACCGTCCATCAACAGACTCAATCAAACCGAGTCTCTTATATTTTCAATTTTGTCATTTTTGAGTTCTTTACGCTTCCGTTTTCTCTATTTTATTTGAATGTTGATTCTTAATTAAATGATTATGATTATATCGGCAAAAATATATTTGCAGAATAATTATGTAAAAAATATCACTTTTGAATGATTTAAAAAAGTTCTGATTATGATAATCATCTAATTGTTGCCAATGATATATTGAATCTCTATGTATGTGTTCATTGATCGTTGTTCAATTATATGTTTGTTAATTGTGTTTCATTGTAACAAAAACTGCCCAAGGAGCAACGCGCTCCACTTTTCTCACTGTAAGATATTCAAAATCATAGTTTCGAAATAAATAAATAGATGATTGTAATTGAAGAATACACTGCTATTTTATTTGGAGGGGGTGTAGGTAGAACTTATCAAGTTACATCAACAAACAAAGTTTAAAGTTCCTAGCTCAAACTACACTTAAATGACAAGCTGTATGTTTTGTTAATACATGTCCCAGTAACCTTGACCTTAACCTTGACTTAACCTTAAAAAGAAGAATGTCGATTTTCTTCAGATAATTAGCATTTTCAATTACAATAGTATTAATTTCTATTGTACTTTAAAATTGTGCTTTTTAGTAATTACTACCAGTATTTTTTTTCCCTCATTAATCAACTGTCACTTGTACACATAGTGTTTTTCTTGCATAACAAATCACGTTTATCTCTCAAAATTTTGATGTAAATATGCTGATTTTTGCGTGACTTTGCGAAAAAGCAAGGTGTCAAAAACTAAAAACGATGACTATTGTCAGGAGAATGACTGCTTTGATGATATTTAATCTTAGAAAATATTTAGAAATAATGCTACTTTAACGTCGCATAACGTTGCAAATGACGTCGGCGTGCTCCGGGTGTTTGTTATATGGTTATTTACTATTTTTATTATGTTTTAGTTTCTGTGTGTATGATGATGATATTTTCAGATACTGTACAGTATATATTGAAATAAATGCGTATATATTTATATTTACGCTAACCCGACTACAACGTGTGCTATAAAACAATTCTCAGAACTTCCCGAACAACCCTCGTATATCCAATTTCGAATATATGGAGGGTGAGCAGCACTGCCTTACTTAAAATTAATATATTCTCAGCTGGATAAATAGCAAGTAATTGCTTAGTTAACACTATATTTCAGGTATTTTTTTATCTTTTTCTATCCCAAATCCATATAAACATTAATACAACAAACTTTGATCATTATTTACACCCAAAACAAACACACACATACATTATTAACCACTTATACAAAATATCTTTTCACGTACACGTCTTTAATATGAAACAATACTAGACACTTGGCGAGCCCAACTCTCACCAACTTATATGATCAAACAAAACAATAAAAAAGCCACAAAATGAAGAACACAAAATGATTTTTACAACTCTAAGATACAGTATAAACCACAAACATTTAAACAACAATATTAACTTCATAAAATCTAATCAGCATTAGAAAACAACTTAAACTAAAACACCCACTAATTACAGATTCTTTAAAAACAAAGCATCACTATGATAATCTTTACAAAACAAAATCACTCAATACAACTCATCCAATATCAACCTAATATATCTTACCAAAAAGATATAACTCAACCAAGTATAATTCAACAACAAAAACAACTTATTACAACCAATGAACCCTGATCAATTAAAATCACCACAATTAAAATCAACCAACTTCAACAAATCAACAAAACTCAACTGCAGCAACCATCGCAACTTGGGATGTGTGAGCTGGCACAATGTCGTGCAGGAGCAGAACGCCTTGAGTCAGTTTGTCCCACGATTTCTTGACGCAGACGTTTCAATTCGTCGGCAAAGTACGTACCGTTTATGTTACGACCTTGCTCAAGATAGTCAATCATAATTATCCCCTGACTATCCCAAAAAAATTTAAGCCATCATCTTCCCTGCTGACGGCACCCTCTTTAATTTCTTCGGAGGGGTGAGTCAGAGTGCTTCCACTGCATGCTCTGTTTTTTGGATTCTGTATCGAAGTGATGGACCCATGTTTCTTCCTGAGTTACGATCCGGTAGATAAAATCAGGATCATCCTCGTAGCGAGACAAAAGATATCTTGAAATGTCAAGCCTGGTCCGTTTCTGGTCATCAGACCCATCTAGCGGAAACCTTTGACATGCCATAGACATTAGTCAGAATAGCCTGAACTGAACCAAAGCTTATACCCACTTCCCTAGCAATGCTTCACCTTCTGTCGCACATGAACAGATCATGCACAGCTTCGGCAGTTTCATCGTTGGTGGCCTCTTTTGGCCACCCATGCCGCTCATCAGCTTCAATGCATTCCCTGCCCCTCTTAGATTCAGCAGCCCATTTTTTTCACAGTGCTTTAGGAAGGGTACTCCTTCAAAAGTGTATCCGTGAAGTCTTCATGGATTTCCTTGGAGGCATCCTTTTCTTACTGAGGTACTTAGTGACTGACTTCTTACTTCTGATTTTAACTATTTCAATTTGGTCTAAATGACACACCCCTCTAGTGATCAAAGTGTGATTTATGTTACTTTATCAGTGTAAAACCGCGTGTAACACGGTCAGTAATCTTAAATATGATCTTGGTATCGACGTATTGTGTATAAATGTCAGTGTAGTGGCTAGAAGTATATCGGGCAGAGAACTTTTCGATCAAAGCTCGTATATATATATGATAATAAGTAAAATATGGAATATATTTTCACGAAACATGATAAAATGCCACATATTTTCACGAGAATATGAAATACGTGGCATTTTATCATGTTGAGTGAAAATATATACCATATTTAAAAAAAACGAAATAATAACCTTTTTATTTAATTTCATTATCAAAGAAAAATGGTTACGAACCCAATGCTTGCTACGCAACTGCTATTGTACCGCGCGCAGTAATATAATTATTATTTACAGATGCGCGATATTTGGCGCTACATTGTGACGTCCCGTAAACAACTGTTTAAACGTCTTTACAGCGTTAATGACTGAATTGAAGATATTGGTGTTCGGATTTATATTCTAAATTAGACCATTTTCTATCATTCTAGATAAAATTCAACAAATAATTGTTTTATATATATAAAAATTTTCAAACAAAATGGCGAAAGAAGTCCCTTAAAATAAATACGAGTTTTGACTCCGCCCATTTTCATATTTATATTTCATATTTTTTTTAAAAAATAAGAAATATATTTGATTGATATAGCACCATATTTCATGGGTACAATTTATATATAAATTTAACGAAGAGATAAAACTTTATGATTATTCTGACAATCATCATTGTGGTGGTATATACTCGACATCTCCTGACGATAAAAATTCGCTTCAGAAAACACTTAACGATTTCAATGACTTTTGTAATACTCGAAGCTAGACATAAGTACATATAAATAAAAGTTATGATAAATGGCACGATAAAAATACATCAATACTCTTTTTCTTTCATTCGAAATAATAATTTAAGGCGACTTTACACCGATTTCATTAGTATCGACTTTTTTTACTTCTATGAAAATTAACACACATTATTTTTAAGAAATACAGCGTTTTATTGGATGACAAATAAAACTGGACACTAAAAATATCTAGGATTAATATTTTCAGGCAATGGTAGTTTCGCAACCGGGAACATATTGCACGTCAAGCCGAGCTAGGCCTTTACCCTATCGAAATTACAATCAAAACAAAAATGATATCCTTCTGGAACAAACTTGTAAACCAGAAGAACACGAGGCCATGCTTTATTAACATTTAAATTGATGATACACATACAATACGGGCTACTCTTTCTCGTGAGTACAGCAAAGGTCATCAAAGAAACCTTAGTAAATCAATACATTCAAAAATGGTTATCAGATCTGACAATATCAAATAAAGGTAAAAAGTATGCTCTTTTAAAAAACTACTTAAAGATATCACCGCGATATAAAAAATAACATTTTAAAATTTATGACAGCAAACCATAAATTATCAGTTTTACCAATCCTCTCCGAAAATGTTTGGATAGTCCTTAAGTAGAATACATGTAACACTTAGCTTATTTTCGAATTGTTAAGAAACTATAATTCATACCTGGTAAAATACCACGACACAAGAGCTTGAAATCCGTTCAAGTTGCGCAAACCTCATTTAAGAATACTGTTAATTTTAAAGCTACGCCACAACATAAATTGACAAATAAGTATTTTAAAGGGATAAATATGAATGAATGATAATAAAGAATGTTATACCTGCAGCTTAATTTCATATCACTCTGTTTACATATGTGTCCCCTCTCCCAAATATGTCATACCATTAAGCATCAAAGAAAATATAAGATTTTTTTTTGTTCTTCTTCTCCTTATTCAATAATATTTTCTTAGCTGCATGCCAAAATAAGAATAAAATTTATATTTAATAAATTGATTAGTATAAAATTCACCTTGTTTGACTACTACGTTGTAAAAAATAAATATTGTTATATGTCATGTTGTTGCACAATTGTATAACCTGAATAATGCAGATCTCTCTCCCTCTCTCTCTCTCCCTCCCTCTCTCTCTCTCTCTCTCTCTCTCTCTCTCTCTCTCTCTCTCTCTCTCTCTCTCTCTCTCTCTCTCTCTACGGTACTCATTTAAGATCATATATGTACATGTTAGATTTGATGCCGCACATCAAAGGCGCCGCCAAATGATGTGAACAGTCACAGGTAATGTACAAAATCAGCCTTGAAAATTATTCTTTACAACAGTTGAATATCTGAAGCACTAACCAATTTGTCTTCGTGTTCTTGGTATGTGGTCGTTGTTTAATAATAATAAAGTTGCATTTTTTGTGAAAAAAGTAGATCCTAATGCATAAATTCACAAAGTAATGCCATGTGTGAAATTATAAAATGTTTTTCTGTTGCGACAAAGATTGAAAGGTCTGCAGGAAGCAAAATAAATTGGATAACTACGGAATGCCGTTAGGGCCATCGCCTATGAATGTGTTCATCTGAAACGCGATAGTCGATAATACGATAGTGAAAACGCGAAATCACGAAGCTACGATAGTGAAAACGCGAAAGTACGATGATGAAAACGCGATAGTACGATGATGAAAACGCGACAGTACGATACTACGATGATGAAAACGCGATAAACTATCGTGTTTTCACCATCGTACTGTCGCGTTTTCACCATCGTAGTTTCGTGATTTCGCGTTTTCATCATCGTACTGTCGAGTATCGCGTTTCAGATCAAACCATTCATATGCGATGGCCCTAACGGCATTCCGGAATGCCGTTAGGGCCATCGCCTATGAATGTGTTAAGCTGAAACGCGATAGTCGATAGTACGATGGTGAAAACACGAAATCACGAAACTACGATGGTGAAAACACGATAGTACGATGATGAAAATGCGATAGTACGATGATGAAAACGCGATAGTACGATGATGAAAATACGACAGTACGATGGTGAAAACGCGATAGTACGATGATGAAAACACGACAGTACGATGATGAAAACGCGATAGTACGATGGTGAAAACGCGATAGTACGATGATGAAAACACGACAGTACGATGATGAAAACGCGAAATCACGAAACTACGATGGTGAAAACGCGACAGTACGATGGTGAAAACACGATAGTTTATCGCGTTTTCATCATCGTAGTATCGTACTGTCGCGTTTTCATCATCGTACTTTCGCGTTTTCATCATCGTACTTTCGCGTTTTCACCATCGTAGTTTCGTGATTTCGCGTTTTCACCATCGTACTATCGACTATCGCGTTTCAGATCAACACATTAATAGGCAATGGCCCTAACGGCATTCCGTAGATAACAAGTAAAAATGAAATGATTGGTATACTTACTTGAAGGTGATGAAATCAAGCGTTCTAAAGATATCGACATTGAGTCGAAATATTGTTGCGAATTGCATAAATTATGCTCGAATGATTTCTGTTATTTTACAAACAGCAAAATATGTTTGTAATATCAAATAATGGTTATGATTAAATTATTAAATATAATCAATTCTTAGTTACATTTTTTATTTATTTATAAAAGATAAAACTATTTGATTAAACCAAGATTGCATATTTGTTTACAATATACTTACCGGGGAATTTAGGTATACTGTACACCGTAGGGAACGTGTTACAGTATCGCGTTTTCCGGTTACAGTATAGAATTTTCAAGATTGGAGGAAAGGTAGGTGATTTTTATTCCGATCCATACTACAAGTAGTTTAGTTTCTAAAAGATATTTTGTGCTTTGCTTGTAAGGAACAGAATCCGGTATCTAGTCATATATTTATTCAGACCCTGCACGGCAGATTTATCTCTATATTGTCTCATAAATATGCAGATTTGACGGTTTGAAAATTTGAAACGAGAGACCATCACATTTTTCTCCCATTCCGACATTATTTTTGCATGCCTAGAAAAAGTAAATCTGCAAAACGTTAGTCCTTTATGTTAGGAAACGTTTATAAAAGTAAATGACCTGTGAACCTATTTTCCTGTTTGTTAAATGAGTTTGAAAAAATAAACAATGTTACAGTATAGAGCGAGGTGATTTATGCAGGGTAATAGCTTAGATGTAGTAATTTTCATCCGATTTTGTTACAGTTTATACCCAGATTTCGGTTACAGCTTAGACTTCGATATGTTCTATCCATACTAGGTAAAATGTATGAATGATACATAGACTTTTAAATCTCTAGAAACCCAATTGGTGAGCTTATTGCCCCAATGGCTATTTGTCCGTCTGTCGAACTCATGTGTCTTTTGACAGTTTATCTGTGGTATGCAGGCTTCATAACCTCTGATCCCCTCTCAAAATTTCATTTTATTTAGTTTCACTCATTGTATTCTCGTTTAGGGCACACGCAATTTTTAACCTGGGGGTAATATGCCGCTTTTCATGGAATGGCAATAACGTGTCACATTGAAGGTTCCATGATAACCGCAATATGAACACATCCACAGATGTTAAAAAACCTCAAGTTTACCAGTTCATGTTTAATGTGAATTCTGCTGAAGCCGGTGCTAGGAGGCGTGGACGGTAGCTTGCAGTTACAATAACCGTCCATGAACAGTCTCAATCAAATTGAGGCAGCAACATTTTCATGTTTTCCGTGTTGGACTTCTGTTAAGGATTCTGTTGTTTTCTATATATTATTACTAATAGGCATTATTATAATGTGTAACGGAATCAAGCAATAATCTTTCTTCTCTCCATACAATTTGATAAAAGGTACTGTCGTTGTCGTGAAAACAGTCCTTAACGTAGGGCATTACGTATTCTGCAAAAAGTCTCAATCTGAAATTTAAAGTAAGAAAAATAGCAAACTATAACTTTTCTGTTGAACGAAAAAAAGTAATACATGTACAACCTTTCAAGAATGTATTAAATAGATAGGTATGAGTTATTTCATTAAAAATGGATACACGAACTTTTGTTGAAATTTGGCAAGTTTCTAGACTGTAACCGAAATCTGGGTATAAACTGTAACAAAATTTGGTCTATGCTGTAACCCAGTAAAATTCACCTCGCTCTATACTGTAACATTGTTGATTTTTTCAATTGCATTGGACGAACAGGAAAAAAGGTTTAACGGGTCATTTACTTTTATAAACGTTTCTAAACACAAAGGACTAACATTTTGTAGATTTCTTTTATCTATGCATGCATAAATAATGTCGGAATGGGAGAAAACTGTGTTGGTCTCTCGATTCAAATTTTCAAACCGTCCAATCTGCACATTTATGAGACAATATAGAGATAAATCTGCGGTGCAGGGCCTGAAGAAAATATATGACTAGATACCGGATCATGTTCCTTACAAGCAAAGCAACAAATCATCTTTTAGAAACTAAACTACTTGTAGTATGGACCTGAATAAAAATCACCTACCTCTCTTCCCATTAATAATCCTCCATCTTAAAAATTCTATACTGTAACCAGAAAACGCGATACTGTAACACGTTCCCTTCGGTACTGTAGAACCACTAAATGTAACTTGAAAATATAAGTAAAAGAGAAAAATCGTCACAGAATTCTTCAAAACTGCCTATTGCAAATATTTGTGTTGCAGTTTAAAACAAACTTACTTTTTCATTCAGTTAATCTTTTTTATAACTTAAATGTTAACTTTTTCATGAATAAGCATACGTGGGGCCTGTTTTGCAAAAAAAAAAAAAAAAAAATTATGTCCGTTGCGCCAAAAAATCTTCGTTGCATATTTAAGTCACACCTCTTGTTCTCTGTCCGAATTTGGTTCCCGTCATTACAATATAGACTGGCTCATTGACACGTTTTTTATCAGGTAAAAAAAAGTTAAAATATAAAAAAGAATATGATATTCAAACATTGAACTATTACTTCAGTTAAACGCTTATTTCAATTCCTTTAAGTTGTACATCAGAATTATTGAAGAATCTGAAAACAGTGCGATTTTGTATAAAACAAGAAAAAAAAATTAACAAAAGAAAGACTAAAATTTCCCCATTTCTGAATAGATAAATGCATATCTATTAGGCGCTGCGTGCACTCGGCGTCTAATAAAGTATTATTTAAGTATAACAAGCGGTAGAACAGTGTCGACTTTAATAAGTTTTTCTAACGGACTTGTCGCTGTTATTTTCCCCTATATTTATCTTATTTCTTCTTTCGGGTTCAATCTCAGATCTATCAATTAACATAATATACAAATTCAATATTTTATATGTTTTGTTAAATAGTTTAGCAATTTCATATTGACACCTGGAACACCAAAATTAGCAGATAAATTTATAAAATATTGATTCAAAACTGTAAAACTACAAAACGATAACATATGATATAGATTTAGTCCCTGTCAAAGTCCAACTATTCTTCTGGTCTATATATTAAAATATATAGAAAACAACAACACTTCACAGAACAAAATAAAATATAACAGTTACATACACTCCAAAAACTTGCAGTATGATCAAAATCTAAATCAGCTCTAAATTAATATTTGACACTCTATAAACTGTACTATCATTAACACACTAACTATGTCTTCATAGAATTCCTTCTGACAATAAAATTAAACAAAAACGAAATAGGAAATTTTGAAGTCTTATCTTTAGTTTATTAACTTTAGTTTATATTTACTTAATGATATAGATAATTTACGATAACAATATATTTTTCATTGTGTATTTAAAGGAAAAACAACTCATGTGTCTCGACCAAGAGGTCCAAAGTAAACATTTACACGAATAAAATATCATTATTTATATTCTAATATCACAAATTCACGTACTTGACGAAGTGTCATACGAAAGACAAATATCTTGACTTACCATAAGCATTCTTTCTGATAAAATTAACGTAATTTTCTAAAAACTGTCAAAAAGTCCTTATGAATACCACGTAGTTCTTTCAAAAATGTCACGTCACTATTCTAATAAATGACACGTATTTTCTTAGAACTGTCACGATGAATAGATATTCTGATAACTTTCATGTTTTTTACCTGATAACTGTCATGCATGTCACGTAGGTAGTTCTTCTGATAACTGACACGTACCTTTTTCTCATAAATCTTATTAAGACAAAAAAGTAGTCACTATTTTAATTAACTAATGGTTTATCTTTCTACAAGTGAGATTGTGATAAAGTGAATAATTTGATAATCAAGCTATCAAAGTCGACTCAATGTTTGGGTATGCATTTACAAAATTATGATTTGCCTATTTGATAGTTCTACTTTATTGAAATTGTCTTTTTGAGTGCAATTCCGAATCATTAGGATAACGTTGTCAGAAAAAATCACGAAAACACGTTGTCAATTGTCGTAGTACATCACTTGTGACAGTAAGATTCGCGTTACAATTGTGTCGTTAGAACGTCTCGAAATTCGTAAGGAAAATGGCTATCCAGGAAAAAGTATAGTAAGCCGCACCATAGTTTCTGATTGGCATAAACGATTCAGAGAGGGTAATTATAAAGAGATTGTGGACAAGGAAGGGAGAGGCAAAATGTGAAAGTTACAAGGACGTTGGTGACGTCAACTGCCGAGACGTAAATGACAACAGATACCATAAAAAACCTTTATTATAATAACCTCTTAAATTATTGTACCTGACTATAGAAATCTTTACAATATGATTTTCTGTTAGAAACGGAAGAAGCATTTACGAATACGAATTTTATTCAGCATAAAACAAAATACATTGCTTATAGCCAATTAACAATGATCCACATGGTAAAGTGAGAAAAATAGCAGTTAACAATACACAAGTTTTCTGAAGAATACAAGTAAATATAGGAACAAATAAGATTTGTACTTATCAACAATATAGTTTTACAGAAAAATATCAGATTAAGATATACGTTTACGATTCGCCCAATACAAAAATTTAGCTAAGGCACATATAGTTTTCTTTGAGTCTGCCGACAAGAGACTATCGAATTTATTCATAGTCGGCCAATGGCAGTAGTATCTTTTAAAATATTTTGTTCGAAGATCTCGGTAGTTGTTACACACATGGAGAAAGTGGTATTCACTCTCTATTTGCTTCATATTACATATTTGCTGTTCTCTAGGAATGTTTTCATATATGCCAGTTTCTATAATAAATCATGGGAGGAAGTTCGAAATCTTGTTAAAGGGGCTACACTGAGGTCTGACAGGTAATTTGGTGTCCAAAAAAAATGTAAACAAATTTCCTCACAAATCACAATATTATAACTAAAATAACAATAACTTACACTTTAACCAACCCTCTAACAACAAGTATGCTAGAAAATGCATTTTCACATTAGCTTTTGATGCAAAAATGAAAGTTGGTTTTCCCAGGCATGTACAGAAGTTACCCACAATTCATCGGGTATGACTAAAATACGCAACGGACATTTTTGGAACAACAGAGTAAAGGGGGGGAAAAAAGTCTATTGATTTTTTCTTAACACTGTAACCTATCATGTTTATATAACTTGAGTATAACGAAGAAAAACTGTATAAAAGATAATTTCGTTGTCTTGAAAAATCAAACGCCAGCGAAGCGGACATTTTCTAGATAAAACGGAAAGATATAATATACATGTACAATTATTTTCATTGACATTTCAGTTTCAATTTCAATATTCTAAGGCAAACATAATGCATCGGTGATATTTATACTATAACGAGCACAGTGTTATCACACTAATAAATGTATTTAACGCTATCTATAACGTATTTAATCAAATACAGTTAATGACATGTCTCATTTGATTTGATTGTTTGTTTTTGGAATGAAGTGGGGGTTACGTAACACAAAACTGTGTAGGTCATTTTGGCGACTCTTCAGTTTTACTGGTGGAGTAAGAACTCATGTGCCCCCTTTGCAAAATTGTTTCTGGCACAAACGGGCATCTGTGTATGTAATGAGTGACGTTTCGTAGGCTATCTTGATAGGATCGTACATACACGTTCCACACACAATTACATCATATTCATACCGTAGGCAAAATTGAATGCACGTTCCCTATTGTAACAATATGAAACCCCAGAAAAAAACATATTCATGAACCAGCTTCTGAATGTGACATTTCTATTGTTATTCCACAAAAAGCACCCCCCCCCCCAAAAAAAAAAAAAGGAATGAGTACATCAATGGGCATGCTCTGGAGTATTTGGAACTATTACCTGCACTCCAGTTACGCACTGTGCATGTATATGAATTTGATTTAACTCTGACACGTTTTCAACAGAAATGTCTTCAAACTATGATACAATAAATGTTTATGATTCTATTAGAAACTTGTTTAGAATTTGATGATTTTTCGGTGAAAACGATATAGTTTACTTGTACTACATATAAGATCAAAGTGCTGAAGGCACTGAAGAAAAAACCGGATAAACTAACACCTTTTCACTCCGGTTTCACAGGTAAATTAATTTTATATGTCGCGGTTTACATTTTAATATCAGCTAACCTTTGCTTTTTGAGACTTTTTGTTTTTGAAAATAATCTAAACGAGTAAAATAAACCCTCTTTTATGGGCAAATAATTTAATAAGTGGCATCCCCGATTTCTCTTTCATAAATTGGCTTTAGCAAGTTCTTTTCTATTCAAATATTAAGAACATTCTGTCAGTGACGTGTCTTCTACTTGAAATCTTCCTGGTGTGTATTTTTCGGTAACATGAAGAAAATGACAGTCTGTTCGTATCTTTCGGTAACAGGAATAAAATGACAGTCTGTTCATTTGATCATGACTGTGAAAAATTATGTTTTGTGAACCAATTTTTCCTGCCGAAGCAATCTGGTGGTTTATGTTCTATTGCTCACACTTAGTATTTTATTCCAAAGAATATTTCTTAGGAGACCTTTAACGTTTGATTACGGTATAATCACTATAACCGAAATACTTAGGAATTAATTTTAATTCCTGTTACTGTGAAATTTTTCGTTCATGGTTTTAAAATACTTCAGTAGCTCTATAAATTTTCAAAACGATATCCAGTATTTCCGAAACAATTTACAAAAGCTTTTAATACACAATCTTATAAATCTTAAAGTATTACGAGAACAATCCACCTAATCTCCAGAACATACATACGAAAAACAAGATAAATCAAAAGGCTGTAAGCTCTGTGGTATTTTCTGATTTTTGCAATCTAAATCGCACTGTTTAACTGTATTATTTTCCTGTATAAGTTTATTTTTATGTACTATAATTCTTCTTGCTTGGTACCAGAGTTTGATACATATGCAATTTTGCATGACTAGAGTTGCATCAAAAATCATTTATGTTCATTTTTATGACAGCCACACTTTATCCCTGCATATCGTGGCTATTTCCTTAACAAAGAAACTTTATAAAAAATAATTGCCTTGAATTGGATTTGAACCCCAGACACACTAAACGAGCGCGTTACCCTCGCACCACAGAGAAGATATACGAACAATGCCTGAATAAAATCAAGTAATACTAAATTTAGATTTTTCATTGCATTTCGGGTTTGTAATCCTTATTAATTTCGAGGTTTTTTGTTCAAGATAAACCTGTTGTTTAACATTGATGTAAATAATTTAACAAAAATCTTCTCGCAAAAACAGTCCGACATGTATATATTCCACTACTCGACAGTCAGATTTATTTGTGAAATACGCTCTCGACATCGCTTAAAATAGCATTTTCATTGATTAAAATGATATTCATCCGCGTAATTTGTGAATGTGCATTCATTGACAATTTTATAACCCAAAGCTACTTTTAAACTTTGAATGCGTTGTAATTTGTTGGATTCTTATAACAAAATGAAAATATTTCTTTCTTTTAAATCGCTAGCTTTCAGCTGTTTTAAGAACTGCTTGTTGTTAGGTTTGTCGTGAAACCGCTGTGTCAGAGATTGACTGTTATCTTTGTATTTCCTGATCTTTGATCAGAAATACAAAAAGAAATGGTAACATTCAATGAATGCAACACCCACACGACCAAGCAACACAGGACCACAGCTAAATTATCAATGAAAAATTTAATTTCAGGCTTTCAAGTGGTAAAAAAAAGATAAACAGGCTATAAGGAGTAAAACAATTGTTAAGATATGCATTGCCGTTTCCCAAGTTTGTATACCGTCTAGGAGTTGGAAGTATTATAAAACATAGTTTAAGTAATGGTTGTTGTTTGAGGTGAGGTTAATAATATCTTACTGAATTCTTAAAGTTACCTTTACTTACCTGCCCTTCACATTTGTCTTGCAAGTATCATGATTTTGTTTGTTTCGTTTAATTTGAAAGAATGTTAGGGTTTAAAGAACAACAACTATATAATCAGTTTTAAGTTTATTTCACTAGTCACAGCAATACCCATGCTGTGGAAGCTTGACTGTGTCGGGGGCTGCGTCCTGTGAACTTTGCCGTCGCCTTGTTTGTCTTTATTCCAGTTTTCCTTTTTTTTTATTATTATAACGCTCTCCTTTTCTTTTCCACCGGGAAGCTTCAATATATTGGTAACATTAAAGCACAACTCAATTGACCCATCACTAGAATGGAGGCCTTCCAATAAGAAAGCAATTTATCAGGGTATCTGCTATATCAATAATGATAATAATAAT